ATTGAGATGCAATCCATACCAAAGGCTGTGCTCTTTGATCTTCATTAGTAAATATTTTGTCTTCTGCACTTTGAGCAAGCAAGGTTGTATCATCTGAATATCACAGGTTGTTAATGAGTCTTCCTCCAATCCTGATGCCACATTTTTCTTCATAGAACCCAGCTTCTCGTATTATCTGCTCAGCATACAAGTTGAATAAGTATGGTGAAAGACTATAACCCTGTCACACACCTTTCTTAATTTTAAACCAATCAGTGTTCCCATGTTCTGTTCAAACAACTGCCTCTTGGTCCAGGTACAGATTCCTCATGAGTACAATTAAGTGTTCCGGAATACTCATATTTTGCAATGTTGTCCATAGCTTGTCATGATTCACACAACTGAAAGCCTTTGTGTAGTCAATAAAGCACAGGTAAACATCTTTCTGATATTCTCTGCTTTCAGCCAAGATCCATCAGACATCAACAGTTTTATTATAGCAGAAGGATATACATGAAGATATGCATAGGATGAGGTCTGGGGTCCCCAAAGCAAAGTTTCCACGTCCCAAGTAAAAGCAGTGAAGTCTTTGAACAACCAGGAAGCTCACCTGACTTTCAGTGTTCAGGGTTTTTAATGAGGCTGCATTACATAGCCATGATTACTTGAATCATTGCCTGTGTGACTGAAGTCAGCCTCCAGCCCTGGGATGTCAGGCTGAAATCACGTGGAGGGTTCTTCTGACATGACCAGCTCCAAGCCAAGAGACTAGTAGTCAGGATAATAAAGAGTCTAAAATCACTAGGGAAATTTCAAGAATTAGGAAGCGATCTCTCAGGAACAAAGTGCAAAGTACAAAGACAAAATTCTTTTGATAAAGTTAATTTTACACATGGTAAACAATTTGATGTGAGTTCTTTATATTAATAATCAGAAAATGCCAATTAAAATGACAAAAAATAACATCAAATTTGCAAAAAGTTAAAAGGAATGCTAATAATGGGGGCAAGGCATATGGGAACACACATTTATAGCTCACGGGAACAAAATTTGGTGCAACCTTTTTGAAGACAATTTGGTAGCTCTTCAAACTCACCAGCCACTCCTTGGAAACCCTATATAGGATTGCTAAGAGTCAAAACCAATGCTAAGGCACTTAATAACATGAACATCTTAGATTTTTGGAGCGCTGTTGGCACTATAGGATAGGCACTGGACTGCTAACTGCAAGGTCTGAAGTTAAAACCTATCAGTCACTCCTTGGAAACCCTATACAGGGACACTATGAGTTGGAACTGACTTGACAATACTTAACAACAAAACATCAAGATTTTTAACTTGAAATATTCTTTATTCAAAAACTCAAGAACTGGGAATACATTCTAGAGAATGATCTCACTCCTAAGGCAAGCAGTATATAGGGATGCTAGACTCCTGGTGTAGTACTGTAGGATCCACAGCACTGGACTTGGAACATCAAGGCCAGCACTTGAAACCTACCAGATGCTCTTCAGAAACCTTATACTGGGTTGCTATGACTCAGAATCGATTAGACAGCACTTAACAATAACAAAGGGATGCTAATTATAAGTATGGTTTAAAAAATATGGACGATTTAATATCCATAAGAGAGGGAAACCAAACAACCCCACACCATTGCCATCAGGTCAACTGCAACTCATAGCAACTCTATGTAGGTTTTTCAAGGATGTAAATTTTCACAGAAGCAGACTGCCTCATCTTTCTTCCTTGGAGCAGCTGGTGGGTTTAAATAGCTGGCCTTGTGATTAACAGCCTAACCTAAAGTGCCACCAGAAATCCTTATTAAAAAATTGAAAATAGTCTAAATTTTCATAAAAATGAGAATTTAAAATAAATAAGTACATGAGTACATGGAAAACCACACAATGCATAAAACTAGGGGACAAATAGAGAGGTTAGTTGATGGAAGAGTGGATGGATAGACAGATAATAGGTATATGCCTTTGTTGTCCTGTTTCCCTTTAAGGTCATCATTGTCACTAACTTTAGAAATATATGCAAAAAAAAAAGAAATTTGGGAGATGATTTTTGTGAATAATTTATTTTCTGATTGACACATTTGGCCAGGATTCTTATTTTAAGAACCTCAATATATGAAAAAGGAGCCCTGGTAGTGGTGGTTATGTTCCGTGGAGTTGGTTCAGACTCATGTGGTGGAGATGTTTCTGACCCATAGC